ATGGTAGTAATGCATGCAAAGAGTAGAGCTAAACACCGAAGCAGGAACTCCACCAACTTCACACCTTTACAATTTAAAATATGATTTCCATTTTCAATTCAAAGTATGATTTTGCTTCAAGGTTTAATTATGAACGGTTTTTGTTGTAGAATTGCTGCAAAAATTAAACTTCCACATACATTATTGATAAATTCTATACTAGCATGCAATGGTGGAGCAAGACGACAAGTCAGTTTGGATCCTTCCAGTGCTTGCTATATGCCAATATTGGTGCGTCAAATAATTGGCGGAGGATTCTGCCGCCGGTCATTGGCTTAGAAACCATCAAGGAAAGTTATTGAGGCTAGGGCGAACCAATAAATTAAATAAGGTCCAAATAAAGGCCAACATTAAAGTCAACGTCAATTTTTTTGTTTGATTCCTCGGAGTGCCAAACCAGACAGATCCTATATCTCTTCCCATGGAGGGCACAAACCATGAGTGCTTTTGGGGGGGAGGCTATAAATTTCCTATCCAAGTCCTTACATTATTTTTTCGAAAATAAGTTTAATGTTGGGGGAGGGGAGGGGGCCATTGGCCCCCTCATCTTAACACACATAGCTCTTCCTAAATATATTGGTATGTAATATTTTTAATATAAATATTGTATATATCAATTGGACCACCCTGGCCGAAAATCCTGGTTACGCCAATGACCTTAACTACCCGTCAATGGTGGTCCTCTTCGACGGCAGCGTCGTCATGCGCAGGATCCGCAGGACGCTCACGTCGGTCTCCCGGATAGAAGAGACTTACAAGGTCACGGTGACCGCGCCAGACGGGGTCGTGGTCACCGTCACCCCGACGCAGCTCACGTTCAACAACTACATGGAGCATAACAAGTACATCATCGACTTCATCAGGACCGAGGCGATGAAGCCGGCCGTGACGTGGGAGTCTGGCGAAATCATTTGGAAGGGCAAGAAGCACCACGTCAGAAGCCGGATGGCGTTTAGCTATTGATGCATGCGAGCCAGCCAGCCGGCCAGCGGCCTTGGCCTTCCAATCAAAGTGATCGATTTCTCTCTCTAGTAGTATGTCTAGTATGCATGTCTATGTGTGATGTCATGCCAGCAGCCTTGCTATGTGTGACCTGATCGACTATGATGCCTTGCCAGCAGCTATTTAGCGAAGCCTATAAAATTTCCTATCCAAACCCTTACATTATTTTTTGAAAATAAGTTTATTGCTGGGGGAGAGGGGGCATTGGCCCCCTCATATTAACACACATGGCTCTTCCTAAATATATTGGTATATCATATTTTTAATATAAATATTGTATATATCAATTGGACAACCCTGACCGAAAATCCTGGTTACGCCACTGACCTTAACTATCCGTCAATGGTGGTCTTCTTCGACGGCAGCGTTGTCGTGTGCAGGATCCACAGGACGCTCACGTCGATTTCCTGAACAGAAGAGACTTATGAGGTCACGGTGACCGCGCCGGACGGGGTCGCGGTCACCGTCACCCCGACGCAGTTCACGTTCAGCAACTACATGGAGCATAACAAGGACATCGTCGACTTCATCAGGACTGAGGCAGTGAAGCCGGCCGTGACGTGGGAGTCTGGCGAGATCGTCTGGAAGGGCAAGAAGCACCACGTCAGAAGCCCGATGGCGTTCGGCTATTGATGCAGGCGAGCTAGCCAGCCGGCCAGCGGCCTTGGCCTTCCAATCAAAGTGATCGATTTCTCTCTCTAGTAGTATGTTTAGTATGTCTGTCTATGTGTGATGCCATGCCAGCAGCCTTGCATTGGACTTGGACGCTTGAACTGCTGCTATGTGTGACCTGACCGACTGTGATGCCTTGCCAGCAACTATTTAGCAAAGGCTATAAAATTTCCTATCCAAGTCCATTATTTTTTTGAAAAGAAGTTTAATGCTGGGGAGGGGGGCATTGGCCCCCTTAAACCTGGGCAAACGTCGGGCCGGGTTTCGGGTCGGGCTTGTAAAAGCCCGACCTTCATTTCTCAAGCCCGAGCCCGGTCAGAAGCCCGAAATACTCCATATTTTCAAGCCCGAGCCCGGCCCGAAGTCAAGCCCGAAGCCCGAAAGCCCGGTCCGAATGCTATTCTCTAGTACGCGCACGTGCAAGCCCGGCCTGAAGCCCGAAAGCCCGGCCCGAAATACGGGAAAATTGAAGCCCGAGCCCGGCCCGAACTATCTTTCGGGCTGCAAAACAAAGCCCGAGCCCGGCCCGAATGTCAAGCCCGGCCCGGCCCGGCCCGGGTTTTTCGGGCCGGGCTCGGGCCGGGTCGTTGGGCCGGGCTGCCCATGCCCGGGTTTAGGCCCCCTCATCTTAACACACATAGCTCTCCCTGAATATATTGGTATGTCATATTTTTAATATAAATATTGTATATATCAATTGGACCACCCTGGCCGAAAATCCTGGCTACGCCACTGCCTCAAAGTGAAAAGCACATCATATGACAATGCTTTTGTAGTTACTAGTTTTCCTGCCTCGCCTCCTATGTTCAAATCCTGGCTCCGCCCCTGGATTTCTACCGTAAAGAGGAAATGAAGATGATACGATGGTGTCAATCAACAGGTGCCAGTACACACACATACGCAATGATTCGCTGCAGAAACTCTAAGCCGCTTTGAGGAAGAGGATACAATGGAGTTAATGGATACATACAGATACAATGATTTGCTGCTGCAGCGACTCTAAACCGCCTTGTTGGGTGGATAACAAATACTATAATCGCGAATTCAGTGATTTTGGTGAAGCTACAACGTGGTCAGACAGGGCAATCTTCTTGTTCTTCTTTATTTTGTAGGAAATTGTAGCGATCAGATGCTCTGCAGCCTGCCGTTCCCGCCGAAGATCCGGTTGAGGATCGCCGCCAGCCTCACGCCCCCCTGGGCGAGCCTCTTCTGAACCACCGGCAGCGCCTTGAAGTAGTACTCATCTGCAGTCCAGTTTCAAAGACATCTAGTCACACTTATTCCAAGGAAATCACACATGAGTATCAATATATAAAAGTTCAGTGTTATTAATCTGGTACGGTACCTCCTAGGGTGTCGTCCTGCTCGACGCCCTCGTACGCGTCGCAGGCCAGCACCGCGCTCTCCTGGGCGTACCTGCATTCGATCGATCGTTCTCAGCCGTCAGATCCAGCCTCTGAACATATAATTTCAGTTTTTGCAGCTGGATTAGATCCTCATCGTGTTGTGAGAGCTTACTTTTCGGCGCAGGTGGTGGTTTTGCTGCGGCACGCCTCCCACTGCTTCTCCTCGCTGGACCAGTCGTCCTGCAAGAGATCAAAACAATCAAAAGTTACTCGAGGTGAAATTAAGGCTGAAGTCGTAATGGAGTGAAATGCAGTGCAGAGGTAACTAGTGAGCTAGCTTACGGTGATGTTGCGCTGGATGGACTCGATCATGGCGTCCTGGTCTTTGTTGAAGAAGTCCTTCATGGCCTCTGTGATCACGTCCGAATCCCACACCTAGGTTTGGAAAGACAACACCATCGTAAACCACTATACGTACTCTCTCTGTCCGAAAAAGCTTGTCCATTAAATGGATGTAGAGAGTAGTAGACGGTTAGTAAATGAATGGATCATGGAGCTGAGACTGCATGTGGTACGTACCTTGTGCAGGTTGCTCTTCCTCCTGTACCAGCGGAGTTTGATGGTGTTGCCGCCGAGGTCGTCCACGTGGCCGCAGTGCAGCGGCTGGTGCACGTCGCCCACGAAGTGCGCCAGGAACATCAGGCTCTCCGTCGGGTCAACTGGTAGCGAAGCAGTTCAGTAGTTCAGCTAATCAAAACAGAACACTCGTTTTTTCCTGAAGTTAAGTGAGCAAAGGTGTCGACCACTGAAGCTTCCTTACATGGGCTTGACGAGTCCTGGAGCGCGGCGGTGTAGTTGTTGATGGCCCCGACCACGCACACGTTCTTGTTCCCCTTGGTGTCGTGGCAGTCCCCTGTCCACAATCAATGCAATCGACGCATAACGTGAGACACGTGCGTGTGTAATTCTCTGATCTGCGATCACGTACGTGTTGGTCCTTTAAGTGCTTGTTCTTGCTTGTGAAACTCTAGCCGCATGCTATGCTGCCCGGACAGTGTGGAACTCTACGACTGTTACATTAGCTTGTCGCGCATGCACTCTGACTGTCAGTCGCCAGTCGGTGACGAGGACCTATACCAACTCCCATGCCCAATCAGACAAGCAAAGCTATACCCGATTGGCAGGCTGGTCAGCATGTCCCCGTCAAGTTGGGCTGATAATGACTCGTCCCAAATGATAATATTCCTTGTGAGATGCGATCCATCAAATAATGGAACTGTTGGCATATCCCTTTTTTTCTAAATGATGATGATGCAGTTAGCTGCAACCGCCACTGACCAGACAGATGGATCGATGTTTTTTTTAGCTCCAGTAGCAGGTGGACGCACGTAACGGCACAGCAAATAACGTGTCGGGACGGACCTCTAATTAAGCTCGTACGGGCTGAAAGTCAAAGCGCGCCTTAACTTCCGATCGCGAGATGCTACTGTTACGAGACAGTAGCACTGTAGACATCAAGTAGACTATCTACCTAATAAACAAAAAAGACTTAAAGAAAAGTAAGTGTTTTTTTTGTTGTTGTGACAGTCAAAATAAACGAGAGCTGAACTTGCATGGATGCATGCATGGCAGGTTTCAGAGGGAGAGAAAGAGTCTGAGCCGGAGCACGTACTGGCGTAGCTGAACTTGCAGTCGCCGGGGGTGTCGGCGAAGTGGAGGGGGCTGGACCACCGGTACCGGAAGCGCTGGCTGTCCGCCCACGAGCACACCTCCGCGAGCTCGCCGTTGGCCCACGACGGCAGGAGCGCCTTCACCCCCGTCAACGCCTCACTCGTCAGGAAACCCTGCACGGAAACGCCACTCCAGTTCAGTATCAGTTTTGCCGGCCTCTACCTACGGGGCGCCGGTGAAGTCAGACGATTCGGTCGGCGGTTCATGTACGTCGGCGATCTTGCAGGTCATGTAGTGGCCCTCCTTGCCCCACGCCTGCGCCGCCGGGGCTCTCGCCGCCGCCGCGACCAGGAGGACGTGAAGCAGCATGAGCAACCCCATCGTCCAAGCTTAAGCTCAAGCTTCGCTCTCTCTCTTTCTGCGTCTCTTGTTGCTGTGTTGCTTTCCTTCTTGTCTCATCTACCCTGTGTACTGGTCCCCTATTTATACATACAACCACCGGCGAACCCATGGCCGCGTTTCGGGCTTGGAAGATTCCTTCATCCGATCCGCGATGCCTTTTGTCCGAGCAACAACCGGAGGAGTTTGAAGCCAATAAGGGAGCCATGTGAGCGAGCCTGATGGCTGGGGTTGCTTGCGCCATGTGAGCATCTCCGGTCATGATCGATGTGCAATTATGCCGGCGTGGTTCACATGTGCGGCACGCTACAAGCTCCGATCCCTATCCGCTGGCTCCGTTTCACATTGCAATGGCAATGCCAAAGGAGGGATCCGATCAGAGCGCGCAGCTGCTGCTGCCACGCGCGCGGCGCGCTTCTTCTTGCCCACCCCCAACGAACGAACACCTACTGCTCCGGCCGGTTTCTGAACTCGGATCGGTAGCATGGTGGGTACGTGCATGCGAGATTCGCCGAGCTTCAAAGCTCCCGCCGATCGATCTCCCTCCTCCAATCGGTTGCATGAAAGAAACCTATAGATGATCGACTTGACGATCGACGACTAATAATTAAACAAAGCACCGATCTATCGCTGCTCGTCGTAAACAATCGGAGGATAAGGACTGATGGCCTCACCAACAACAGGCAGCATATGCTGTATACATATTCCGTCAGACAGTGTTTGCAGCGTTTCCCCTATAGTTTACATGTATCGTCTCCCCTGGGTCGCAATTGCTAAATCAACGGAGAGCAAGCTAGATCAGATCGAGCTAGCCTGCCACTCCTTGTCCACTCCCAACCAACGCTACATGATCCGGTTTCTGAATGCTGACTTGGTACTTGCTCAGCAGCAACAAACGACGACCAAAGGAAATGCCTACGAAACCACCCTCAATCAAATGGCCAATCCACACCCTCACCTGCTTCGCCTGCCATCGTGCGGGTCATTTTCGGTCTCGCTGCCAGAACCCATCGTTTTTCCTCATTTGTAGAGAGGACGGGCACCTCACAGTCGACCGCCTGAATCGTAAAAAACCTCATGCTTTCATGCACTATGGCACCGGCCTCCCTGGCTGCGCTTTCTTTGCGCTTGATAGTGAGATCCCTCAAGTGTCTCCCATCCCTGCCCTTTCCAATGCTGGCATAATCACTGTCAAAGACAAGAAAAACACTCCTCAGGTTCTCCTTGATGAGCTTCAGCTATGGGACGATGGCGGCTGGGATTGGCAGATTCGTCGTCGGAGTCCGAATTTGCAGCCATTTTCCCCTCCAAAGAAAGTGTAAGGATGATTTTGTCGTGCACCAGTTTTACTCTCCCTCCCAATCAGCTCGTCGTTTCTGTCAAGGCCGCTTCCAACGGATCGAAACTAATCTCTCCTCTATCAGATGTTTGGGTTCTCGTTGACGATGTCCCACCTACGCTCCGATCCCCAACCTTCCTCATGGCTTTTGTAGTTCTCACCGGCAAACCTATTGAGGTCGATCCGGTGTCGCTGCTTGTCCTGGGCTCTGTACGCCTGCGGGTTTGGTGTGTGGATCCTCTCTACATTCGTGGCGCGGTGGATGTCTTCCCCTCCGCTGGTGGCTTCCGGCTCAGGGTGCGTGTCGAGGGTGCGGTCAATCCGTCCTTGCACCCTCCCCTGCCCCCTCGGCCGGCCTCGGACAAGGACGACGATGGGTTGCCTGATGACTTGAATCCTGGTGCGGAGCACTGATTCACGCAGTCCGAGTGGGACGGCCTGACCTCTGAAGACCGTGACCTGCTCAAGTAGAATGCCCCCGCGCGGGGTGGGAACAAGGATGCGGCTGGCAACGTGGGAGCGGGGACTGCTGCTTCCGATGGGGTGAGGGGCACTCCTTTCTCTGGCGTCTGCTCTAATCTCCCAGCTCGCCTGGCCTCGCCCTCTCTTTCTGGCATCGAAGATCTACCCCCTGTCGGCCCGTGTCCAAGAAGAAGAAATCATCTGTCAAGAAGTTTTCCGCTTGCAGCAGGGCCTCGGAGGGCTCAAAGCAGTCTGCGGCTGGGATGTGCCGCAGGCTCGATGCTGATCTAGGAGCGGCCTCGAGTCCATCTTCTGCGGCGGCCTCCCCGTGCCGTGCCCGCCCTACGCCCGTGCATTCCCCCGCCTCCACTGCCCACAAGAGCGGCCAGATCTCCAACAGCGGCGAGCGGGTGGCTGACTGGGCGGCACGACGCGCTGCGGGCAGAGACCTCCCCCCACAGGTACTCCACCTCGCCCTTCTACCCCTTCTATCCCCAGTACTTCTCCTGTTCGATTAGTCCTTTTGTCGCATTCTAATAAACATCTTCTGCATATTTTATCAGATGTAGGCATTTCTTTTGATTCTAGTTTCGGCTCTCCCTCTGCCCTGCTGGCTGTTGTTCGGGACAATGAGGTGGCCCAAGCTGTTATTGCCAGGGCCAAGGACGCTGCTGCTCTGGCTGGGCCCGCACCGGCTGTGGCTGGTGGGGTCGCAGAGGCATCTGATAGGGATCAGGTGTCTTCTGTTGTGCCTCGGCGCGGAGCGGGCAAACGTGCTAAATCCTACATATCCCCATGTAGGTCGAGTCTTCGCACTAAAAATCTTTCCTTTCGATGAAAGCTCTTTTCTGGAACATCAGGGATTTTGGTGCTAGGGGGCGCAGAGACCAGCTGAAAGACCTTGTTCAGAGCGATAATATTGACATCATTGGACTCGTTGAAATGCTAAAACCCTCTTTCTCCCCTAATGAACTCTCTGCGGTTGCGGGGATCGACAGATTCGAGTGGAACTTTCTGCCTTCCTCGGGCCACTCCGGCGGCATCCTTATTGGTACTAAACGAGACATGTTTGATTTTGTTGCTTTCGATCATGGTATTTTTTGGGCTAGCACTGTTGTGTCTCATCGCTCCCTTAACGTTCTCTAGGAAGTTATGGTAGTTTACAGTCAGGCTGACCATTCTCTTTCCCACTTGTTCTTGGATGAGGTATCGAATAAGATTGATTCGTGTGATCTTCCCTTGCTTATTGGTGGTGATTTCAACTTAATGCGCTCACCCTCGGACAAAAATTCCCCTAACTTTTCCTGGTCGCTTGCTGACGCTTTTAACGCTTTCATTTGTGACTCATCTATCCGTGAAGTGCCTAGGGTGGGTGCTCGCTTTACCTGGATGAATCACTACTCTTCTCCCATCAGTCTGTCCTAGAGCGTGTTTTTATTTGTCCCCGATGGGACTCCTTGTTCCCTCATGCTTCCCTTCGGGCTTTGTCCATAGTGGGATCTGACCATGCCCCCCTTGTTCTCGACGATGTGATCCGCACTGTCTCCTCCCCATGGTTTCAATTCGACGCTTCGTGGCTGCTAGTTGATGGCTTCTCTGAGATGCTCTCGTCCAAAATTATCTCCTTCTTGGCTTCTGACCGCCGTTCCTTTGGCCTGATGGATGATTGGCACCAGTGTTCTTATTTCTTGCGCAAATTTCTTCGTGGATGGGCCAGGAATCATGTTGCTGATTCCCGTCGTGACAAGCTCCGTCTTTCGGCCCAAATTGGCTCCCTTGATACGCGGGCCGATGGCCCTGGCCTTTCTCTTCCTGAATGGTAGACCCATTATGTGCTCGAGGAGGCCTTAATGGCTTTACACTGTCATGCCGAGGTATATTGGAGGCAAAGAGGCACCATTAACTGGACTTTGGAAGGCGACTCTCCCACTGCTCATTTCTTTGCCATTGCTAATGGGAGACGTCGTCGATGCTTGATTGACAGTCTCATCATCAATAACACCAGGGTTTCAGATCATAACCAGATCATGTCACACGTAGTTGAATTTTTCTCCTCCCTCCTTTCTGCCAAGCCCGAGGTTGGGTTTAGGATGGCTCACTCCTTCTGGTCGGTCCAGGAGCAGGTTTCCAACGACAAAAACGAGGCCTTAATGATTCCCCCTTCAGACGAGGAGATTTTCAAAACTCTCCGTACTGCTAACACCAATTCGGCCTCAGGCCTTGACGGATTCTCCATCCCTTTCTTCAGGCAATTCTGGCCCCAGCTTCAGGGCCTCGTCCATACAATCATCCAAGGTTTCTGGTTGGGGACCGTGGATATTTCTCGCCTAAACTACGTTGTCCTCACTCTCATACCTAAAGTTAAAGGGGCTAACAAGATCTCTCAGTTCAGGCCTATTGCCCTCATCAATAACTTCGCTAAATTTCCGGCAAAAGGTTTTACTACTAGGCTATCCCCCATCGTTCAGCGTACCCTCAGTCCTTTCCAATCGGCCTTTGTCAAAGGCAGGTTCATCCTGGACGGCATCCTATGTTTGCATGAGATCGTCCATGACCTACGTGTTCATGGTACTAGAGCGGTGATATTTAAGCTTGATTTTGAGAAAGCTTACGATTTGGTCAGTTGGAACTTTCTTCGTCAGGTGTTACTAACCAAGGGCTTTGATGGGGCTATGGTGCATAGACTTATGCAGTTGGTCACGGGTGGCCACACTGCGGTTTCGGTAAATGGGAATATCAGTAACTTTTTCGCCAACGGCATGGTGACCCGGCTTCCCCCCTTCTCTTTAACTTCATGGCTGACTCTCTCTCCCACATCCTGACTCGGGCTGCGGCTGCTGGCCATATCACCCCTGTCAGCTCCCATCTTGCTCCTAATGGCATGTCCCACCTCCAATACGCGGATGATACCATCATTATGGTGGAACTTAACGATGAAAGTGTGGCTCACTTGAAGTTCCTTCTCCTTTGCTTCGAAGCACTTTCTGGTCTCAAAATTAATTTTGCCAAGAGTGAAGTTATTGTTACTGGGGTGTCGGACGATGAGGCTCTTAGAGTTGCTCATTTACTAAACTATTCCCTGGGCTCTTTCCCTTTCAAATACCTTGGACTCCCGATCTCCCCCCACAAGCTATTGGCTAAGGATTTCGCCCCGGTCGTCTCGAAGGTCACTACTAGGGAA